GTTCTGGTAACCTCACTCATGTGGTTATCAAAACTGAAACCACCAAGATGATGCCAAGGTCCCTGATTTGCTCACTCTGTTTCAGAGAAACTATTTTTATGTCCCTGACTTTTGGGACCAACAAAAAGTGTTTTGGTTTGAGCTCTGTTCCATTCTAAAAAGCTTTGAGACACCCAGCAGTTAATATCATCAACATAGCTCATTAGTTTTTGTGAACAGATGTTAGATCATCAGAGGAAAGTGATAAGTACAAACGTGCATCATCCGCATAACAATGGTAGGCTTTATTATGGTTCTTTAAGACAGCACCAAGTGGGAGCATGTAAAAGTTAAATAGTAATGGACCAAGGATAGACTCTTGAGGAACCTCTGATTGAATATGTATTTGTGCAGATCTAAAACTGCTAACTGAAACATTAAACTTCTACCATTTAGATATGATGAGAGCCAATCAAGAGCCCGACCTGTTAAACCAACTTTGTCCTGAAGCCTATGAATTAGAATGTCATGGTCAACTGTGTTGAAAGCAGCAGTGAGATCAAGAAAAACTAAAACTTAAACTTTCAGGGAATCATTATTGATCCTCGAGTCTTTGATGACTTTAGTAAGAGCTGTTGCTGTGCTATGACTGGTTCTCAACCTTGATTGGTACTTATAAAAACTATGATTTGAAAGGTATTTATTCAGTTGTTTGTAAACTTTTTTCCCCCAAATGCTTTGCTGAAGAATGAAAGATTACAATTAAGGCTAGAATTATTAACGATCAATAGAGCCAGGTTTTTTTCTCTCAAGTAGCAGTGTGATTACAGCACATTTAAGGGAAAAGGTGAAACACACATTTAAATAGTTTGGTGGGGATAGGGTCAAGTAAATAGGTGTAAGGCTTTAACTGATGTCAAGATCTTTAGAATTTACAGGTGAGAATTGACAACAGCTGGAGGTATAGCTTGTAGAAGGGGTACATAACAAAACGGGAGTCTTTTGTGAATAGGACAGCTGACTGAATAGCTTTCTTACCTTGGCGATTCTTTCGTATCCTCTTTGCCCTCTGAATTTCTTTTTTGCATTCTGCTATCTTCTCATGTGCAGATGCAATGTTTTGTTCTGTAGTATGGGGACAAATTAACGAGTTGGAAAAGCAGGTAATACAAAATGTGACTTGTAAACAGTTGCGAAGATAAACGGACAGTCTCACAAAACCCAGTCCTACCGATGTTGGAGTAGATTTTCTCATAATTCTCCATTTCCCGAAGATTCATGTCGTAAACCATCAACGTCTTCCCCATGGAAAATTCACACTGAGCCAGAATGCCCAGCATCCTCTGATACTGTGTGAATCTGAACAGAATTACAGCACTTTTTATGACTCAGACCAAATTCTTCTAGGCGATTTTAGAGAAACGCGTGGCAACCGAGTTGGGTATGTAGAGCTCGCTTACCCTTCCTCCGGGGTCCCGGGAGAGTTGCACCATTTCGTGAAACTCTTCAGGAGCAAATTGATTCGGCGGTCATCTCCGGCTCCATCACCGTCAATGAGAAGGCGTTTCCGTATAACTTCATCTGGAATACGGGCGAAATAACAGCCATTCAGGTACAGCAGGTAAAGAGAATACACCGGCTAACAAGGCTACTTGATGTTAGCTGTATCCAAAATAACCCCTGTCTCCATGCACAACTGGTTCGTTTTTGACGGGTATGGGTATGTGCCTTGGTATAGTAGTATTTCTAAAGGTTTAGATAATTGTTACTACTCATAGGTGGTATGAATAGCTAATATAAATGAAGAGAACGGTTACTTACCATCCGTAACTGCCCCCATGTTTGTGTTGCGGCTTTGCAAAACTTTATTGAACAGCAGGAAGTGGACGGTCTCCTGCTCTTCTTCTGTGGCTTAGTCCTCGGTTGGCAAGCTAGTTTGAAGAATTACCGCCACCAACTGGACTGGAGGGGCAAAAATAGATTGCCATTGGATATTTTATGAGACAAGTGAAACCTTTAGTTGGAAAAAAAATGCAGAGCGTTTTCTTTTTGATAAAACTTTATATGATTAGATTTTTTTAACTTTGGGAAGAGCAGAACAACACGGAAGTATATTGTTAAAACCATGTTTTGGTGATGACATGATGACTGATGACATTTATAGAGTGTCTTAATTTGTGTCATGAACCATCGCACTAAACTGATTTTTTTTTTTCAAACAGACGTATAGTTTTCTTATATGTTTTGGAATAAATTCTGCAAAGTGCTATAAGTGTGAGCTATTTTTCTTAATTAGCTTCCATATAATACTGTGCGAAACTCCTAAACCACCCCTCATTTATTTATATTGTGCTAGAGAAATGAGAAATCGCTACAGTTGTTTATTGAAATGTGTGCAAACATCCATGGAAATATAGTATATAAGGCAAACACTGAGTTTTAAAACGCCAATTCCAATTTTACAGTTGCAGTTGGCTTGTCTGTCAGTGTATGTATTCTTCAAAATAGCCTGAACTCTCTAAGGTAAGGTTTCCTCTGAATTTCTTTTAGAAGTCTTCAGGAATAGTTCTCCAGGTTTCTTCAGAGCTCTTCTTTGGATGTTGGCTTCCTTTCTTTCTGTTCTCTGTCCAAATGATATCACACTGCGTCAATAATGTTGAGGTATGGACTCTGGGGAGGCCAGTGTAAGACATGATGGTGTTTCATTTTGTGTTTTTCTATCCAGGTATACTTTTCCTGCACTGAAAGTGTGTTTGGGATCAATGTCATGCCGGGAAAAAAAAGTTGTTTGCCAATCAGACCCTTTCCATATGGTGGTGCATGGTGAATCAAAATTTGACAGTACTTTTATGTTTTCATATTTCCCTCGGTTTTAACAAGATTCTTGACACCACAGTCTGAAATGCAGCACCAAACCATAACATTCTCCAATGTGTTTTACTGATGGCTGTAGGCACTCGCTGTTTTAACTCTCTCCTGGCCTCCTCCTTACATAGTGATGATTTGAACCAAAAATGTCAACTTTGGGTTCATGACTCCATAATATCCATGCCACTGCTTTTTCAATTCAGTTCTTGTGTAATTTGGCATATATCATCTTATGTCAGGTCTTTGCATTTTTTCCTATTTCTGCAGAACATGTCTCTTGTCCAGTTCTCTCTACTTTTTTAAGGACACTGCACGTTTTGACACCCTGCAGCCATGTTCAAATTCCCAGAGACTCTTATTTGGGCAGGTAGTTTGAAGCATTCGCTGATATGAAAACTGCAAATAGAATCATCAATCAAACCTTGTAATATAAAACTCCTTTAGGAGTGTGCTGACCTTGCCCCAAAACTAGGTTTTAACTCTAGTTTTAACTCTCTCACACACACACACACACACACACACACACTCCACCACCATTGCTTCTGTCATAGGTTTTAGTTCAGGATTCTTTCATTCCCATATAATAGTTATCTCTGTTTTAGATAATCAATTTAAATCGTCTAAATCGAATTAAACATATGTTTGGTGAACATGTTGTAGTATTTCTTTTTTATTTTTTTATATTTTTTAAATTGCAGATGTTAATTGTCATGTTTCTCCCTATCACATATCTCCCAGGCTTCATGCAATTGTAAATACTGCATTTCACAGGGGAATAAAATAAAATAATAAATAAATAAATTTAAATAAATAAATAAAATCTCCTGGTGGAGAAGTTCGGCGGTGCCATGCAGTCATTGGTCAGTTCGCGCTTGCGTCGTGGCGCGGTGACGTTTTTCTCTGTCCCAGAATGCAGTCTGGTAAACAGACATGGAAGCACCAGGTGAAGACCTCCACAGAGGCTGAGCACTAAACTCGCTCTTTTCCACCGTCTTCTGTCTCCTTCACCCTGTGCATCCAGTTGATATATATCAGCCAGGTGTCAGACTTACGTCTACAGGATCCAGAGCCTTGGTAAGAGTGAAGTTGTTGTCGATATGTGACCGCGGCTAATGACTTCTGCTGGGCTGTCAGGCTGCTGTCAGCTTCCTCGCTGGCGCTAGTCATGGCTGGCTAACGTTAGCCATCTAGCAGGCTAACGTTAGCCATCAGTGCTGTTTAGTAACGTTTGTACCAGTCACAGACCCACACTAGATTGAGCTTAATGTCATGACACAACGGCTTATAGACATTTGGTCTGTTTTCAAATACCGTATTTCCGGTGAAGGTTAATGTTGTCTTTTTTATTCAAAAAAATAATAACTACGATAGTGTAATTAGTGTCGAGTAGAAGTGGCAGCAATTCTAGCCAATACGAATTCTGGTTCCTGTGTTCTCTCTTATCTGTGTGTCAGAGTTGCACCTGTCTGCCAATGACAACAACAGTTTTTCTAAAGAAGTGACATAATGCTGTGTTCTTCCACTCATGGCCTTTAACATACTCATTTCATAAAGTCAAAACCACAACCGAACTAAGGCTAAGCTACGGGTACTCGTATGTTTATATTCCGTAAGAATGTTATTAACATTGTTCTTAACCGGTATAGGCCTTTTCAGTGAATCTATATAAAGGTGGAAATCCAGCATAACCAGTTCCCCATTCCAATCATTGTGATAATTGGATCATATCTTTTCTGTCTGAATCTCATTTTATTTCTCATGTTTTTATGTAGCTTTTGTTATTTAGCCACCCAATTGAGAAAGATAAAACAACAAAAAAGAATAAATAAATTAAGCAGATAACACAACAGATGACATCGGCTGCTGGCACCGTAAACATAATCTTACATGCTGGTCAGAAGTCAGTGTTACTGATGTTCAGATGATATATTAGTGTATTCAAGGCAATTTTTCTGATATAATGATAAACATGTTATAAGCCCGTATTAATACTGTGACACCGTAGAGGCCAACGGCTATAATGGTGGCACTAGCTCTTTGCCACTTTATCAGTGTTGGCATTTATGACAAAGATGTGAGAATTGTCTGTTAGTATTGTTTGACAGCACATGCATACAGAATCAAATATAATACTAATATTTTAGTTCTGCTGAAACTTTTCCCTTCTGCATTGTCACAAGTCAGAATTTTTGTTGCTGTCGAAAGGTTAAATAGCATGTTCCACAGACACCCATATGCCAGCGTTTACATAATACTCTGTAATTGTTTCCCACTCTAACTTATTGAAAGTTAACAGGAAAGTATTGACTTCTAGATGTCTATACATATAGATAGATAGTCTATATGTATTACGTGTTGTCGAATGTGAGAATAGCACAGATAGTACTGTGGTGAATTTACACTGAGTGACTGTGTCCTGTGTCCTCAACCTTCCAGCCAGGAAGCTTGTTCACCTAAACCACACTAACTATTAACAATTAATAATCTTCTGCTGTGAGCTAGATGTGAGAAGAGAAAACACTGGACAGTCTCCCGACCTGACTCTCTGAACATTTTCCAGACTTGATGTGTGAAAATAGTTTCGGACTGCCACTTTTGCAGCAGTAAGATTCTTATTTTTCTTTCTGCTTTTGCTAAAAGTTGTTGTGTATATTAGCAATACACTTTTTTTTTTTAACCTGTAGCACCAGTAAATCCTGGAATTCAGGTCGCCTGCAGTGAATTTATTTTGATTTCATGCTCATTATAACAAATTTTTGACATTAGATAACTTAAAGTTAAGAAGTGTGGTTTAGTTCTGACGGTATTTAGGTTGTAAGTTTTAAAGGGTTGCATCAAAACAAGCAAAGCAACATTCGATTAACAAATGTAAAGTTGGTGGAATCCATATGGTACAGTACACCACTGAATAAACAGCAATATGCCTTAAATGTGTGAAGACGACAAAAAATATAAAAATGTCTACATGTCTTTAAAATGGATTCCTGTAGATGTATGTGTTGCTTTATGTTGACTAAGTTGATCACTAAGGGGGCAGTGTTTTTTTGTGTTACACATACTGTAATTCAAAAATTCCACCTACTAACTATAGAAAGGAAAAGGTGTGGTATAGTTACATCTTCCCTCAATGCATGTCTGTGTATGTCTCCAGATTTCCTATCCAGTGTGTGTGTGCCAGCCAGGAATCCACCCAAACTGATGTGGATCATCTGATTGAGTTTAAAGATAAATTCCTTGTTTCTTGTTTTGCCAAGGTAAGATCTTGCTGCTGTTCATTTCAAAACTGTATTGACATGTGGTGGGTTTTTTGTTTCCTCATAGCTGCAGAATAATCATACCTAGTCATGTAGTACTTCCATCACAACGGCCCAACACCGAATACAGTTTCTATTGTAAAGTATTCAGTATCAAGGAAGTGTTGCTTAATGAGACTACAGCATCAGTGAGTTGCATCTGAGGATATGCTTTATACTACTTGTTGTACTGGGCTTTAAGATTAGGTTTTTCTTTTTACTATATGCGTATGAATTGTTTGAATTTAAAAAAAGACCAACAGTGCAGCTGCCCCTCAGTAAGTATCAAGGAAATTACAGAAATTGTGTAATTTCAAGACTTCTGTGTTGGACTACTTAATGTTACAGAGGTCTTCGTTATTACAGCATCTGTTCTCGGTATGTTGCTTAAAATGTTGGCTGATCCAGCGCCCGCTAATCTGCTTTGTTCTGTTCTTTGAACTCACAATAGATTTTGATTAGACTCACTGGATTAAATCATCTGAGATGATTACACGCTTCTGCTGTGTTTGACCAAGTGGCAAATTTTGGGCTAGAAAATGAATCCAACATGGATGTGCTAGACAAGTCAATCTTTACAGGCTGTTATGTTAAAATGTCCAAGTAAATGACGCTAAGACATCTTTATAGCCTGGTACAAATAAACAATTTATGCCTCATAGACAGGTAAGCCTCTTTCATAATGCATGCTCACTTTGATTTGTCAGGTGTGTGGTACAGCCTAATCTAGACGTTTGTGGTTCAGTTTTGGTGAGTGAAATTCTAGTGTTTTATTAGTCTTTTACTTAGTAGTAATAAGCAGATATCTTTGTCTGTGTGCTCCATCTGTACAGCAGGGCTGTTCCTCGTAATACCAGTAGAAATCTTCGTATGACCAAAAAAAAAAGTGTCAAAACATCAGCAATATAGCAACACCATGCATTTGCATCCTCCAGCATGCACAATAACAAAGAAAGGCCAGGCCTATCTGAGAGTGAGAGCTGTATATCAGTCTCTGATGGTGATTTTAGTCCAGGTAGTTAAAATCTATATGTCAGGAAAAGCAAACAGTGGATGAGGATTACTGATGTAGCTATGTTGTAGCTGGTACAAGGTCTCTTGGTGACAATATTGGTCAGGCTCTTGATGCTTTACAAGGTTAAGTTAATTGAGTTATTGTTAAATTAAGGTATTAAGCAGTTCTTTTATGATTTAAATTTTCTTTTGGCTAGCTTTGGTTTACATTTGGACTAGAGTGCTACTGTTGCTGGCACCTTGTTTCAACATATTAGCACTTCAATTAGGCAGTCTGTCATCAGTGACAGTAACTCATTAAAAAAGGGTGGAAAGTACTCTTCGTTTCGTTTAAAATAATAATAATAATAATGGCACTGCGTGCAAACGGCAGTAATTAAAAAGAAAAAAGTATTCAGTATTTTTTTTACAATGTCATAAATATTATCTCAGATTTCCTGGAAGTATTCTGAAATAATACTGAGTCCAGCTAGCTTTAGCTGATAACTTATCACTTTACCCTTTCATTCACCTATGGGAGTTTCTGTCTCTAAAAACAATGATGACATCATGATTGCTTGTTCCATCTTTATATACAGTCTTACAGTCTGGACATGGGTATTGATTCTGAAAACAAAGATAAACTCAAAAGCTTGATGCGACTTGAGGACCAGTGGGAGTGTTCAATTTTTCACCTTACTAGAGCAAAATCTTCTGTGAGAGGGCAATCTGGAATTAACTAAGAGTATTTACTTAAAGGTGATTTCATAAAAACGGCAAGAACATGAGGAGGGGGTCAAACTGAGATTGTTTTTGGTTTTTAAATGTGCTTACAGAGCAAAGTAAAGCATAAGGTAATGTAGCCAAGTAGAGTAGAAATGTCTGCTGTGAATCATGGTGTAAAACTGAAAGGGACAGGAAAAAAAAATCCTAAAGAACATAAAACTAGGGAAGACCAGCTGGGCTGGACTAGGCTCCAGTTGAAGAGTTGGCTCTCTACCAAAATATCAATCACCATATACTGGAGTGTATAGAAAGGGGAATCTCTTCCTCCAAGCCACAGGAAAGATGCAGCCGTTATGACCTCTTTCAGGTACAGAAAGCTTGACGTTCTTCTGTGTGTCAGAGGCATGTTGTCACTACCTTTGTGATGTTATTGCTTTTACTCAGCTACTAACATATGGTGCTAATAAGTTACATATGCAAATTATTTCCTCTCCAGTGAAGCAGTAGTTCTCTAAAATTAATGAGTGAGGGTACGTGAAAGGATGACGGTAATCACACAGTCCTCCTCCTCTTGAAATGCTCTTGTTATGATCAGTGCACTAATTGTTAACTGGTTCCTCCCACAAGAATGTCACAGCTATGCTGGGCACAGTTCCTGAAACTACACTATTGCGATCATTTTGCTTTGACCTTACAGATATGATGCTATGGCAATAAAGGCAACAGATGTTTTGAAGAAATGAAAAATCTGAGGGCATGTCAAATAACTATATCCAGTTAAAACATTAAACCAACTGGCATCAAGGTTGTTAAATTGACATTATTGTAGTTTCAGTGTTTAAAAATGCTCTTCATCACAGTGTTTGAGCACACACACAGCCAGCATATTCAGGATGATATTTTTAATTTGCATTTAAATACATGATGGTAAAATTGTACTTTCAAACAGATTTTTGAGATCACAATTTACTAATACTGTTTTTTTCCTTCCTTTGTTTGCTCATTTTGTCTTTTCTTTTATTTATTACCATTTTGTGCTAAAAGCAAAGAGAAGTTTTAAATGTACTTGAACTATTTAAGCTCTTCATCACACAGTGTGATCACCTGATTTATTTGACGCAGCAGAACTCAATCAGCATTTGGTAGGTGATAGCAGTCAGGAAGACTGACACCAGTTGATACTGATGTTCATCTGATAATATCAGTGCATTCCTACACTAAACTCTGTACTTGAGAGGGCCAAGGCTTTTTGGAGTACTTGCCAAATTGGAGTAAGAATTTCAGGTAGAGGGGTAAAATGGGTACACAGCGTCCAACACTGCATGATTAATATTAAAGATTAAACGCCACAACAGATGAGATGTGCCATTTCTAAGTAATTTCAGTCAGTGTGTTACACCGTCTTTATAAGACATCTGTACTTTTCTAGGTTTTGTTTCTGGCAAGAATGTAAAAGGATCCCAGTTCTAGTTTTGTTTCTTTTTTTTCTCTCCTTGTTCAGCTTTACTTAGGCGAGCACATGCTGTCTGGGTAGAATGAGAAATGTTTCATTTTGAAAGTGAAAGTAAACTTGGTAGATTATAACAGACTTTGTAAATCTGAAATGCTTAGAAATTAAAAGGTTTGTGCATGTCATTCAAAAAATCTCTGAAGTCTTGCATTAATACATCTTAGACACGTGTTTAATAGTAACATGACCCTGTCTTTATTTTAAATGGAATCTAATGTAACTGACCGTAATCCTTTTATACAAAGTCAATATCTCTAAATGTATTTCTCGCATATTTTTCAAAATATTGGGAAGCTAATGCATACATTCTAAACATAAAGCCATTATAATATAGTATTTCACTCATAAGTCACCAGTAGAAAGTCTATATATTGATATCAGCTTTATGGCTCACATATTTCAGATGTTAAAGCTCACATTTTCTTAGTATGGGAAGAAAACAAAGAATCAATAATAAATTATAAATATGTTATGGTCAGTCATCTTCTAATGTCACACCCACAATTACTAAAAAAGTATTTAGTATATCTTACAACTGTTTATATGGAGTCAAATCTCAAAAGCGATCTTTATTAACTAATAACTTGTGCATTAAATTGGTATTATTACTGTTGTTGTTCATTTATAACCAATCACAAATTTGCCTCAAAGCACTGTATTTGATAGCATCGTTATTCTTAAGTATAGTTTACAATTATTAAATGTAATTTAAATTTCTAAATGATAGCTAGCGAGTGAGCCACAGCCAAGGAAACCAGCAACCTTCAGCTGAATCGCCAGCCGGCCTATTTATTCGACGTTAAACAGTATGTTGTGTAAGCTTTGTACTTGTAACGTCAAGTTACCACACAGGGCGATTTTTTTTTTCTGAGAGGCGGGTTTGCTGAAAACAACACGCGTATGCCCATGTCAATCAGTATAAAAGTCCTCCTATCCCGAGCTCTACCAGCGCTGACTCTCGTGTTGTTACATTGTAGCGGAAAGAATGTCGGAAAGGGCCGAGGATGACGTCAGGGGGGAGCAGCGCCGAGCGGCCAGGCAGCAGCTGAAGCAGCAGCAGATCCAGCGGGGAGAAGGCTCCACAGCAATGGCGACTGTTGCAGAGCGGAGATCGTTGCCTAGTCCAGAAATAATGCTGGGACAGCCTTGGAGCAGCTGGGTCGACGCCGCCAAACTCCACGGCAACGACGGTGAGTTCCCCAGCGCGCCGTATGTTTGCGAGGAAGCGAGGTAGAGCGCGACAGTTGCCAGTCCTGTCTTTTTTTTTTTTTTTTTTTTTTTTGGCCGAGTGCATGCAGTTTTCGGTTGAATATGAAGAAACGCTACTGGTAGCAACAGCACGGGCAGGGAAGCAAGTGCAACTATTCATTTGTGTGTTTCGGATCGCCTCATTTTTTAGGTGCTGAATCGGAGGAAAGTTTTAAAGACTTCGGGAAAAATCGAGAAGCCATGCGTTTGTGCAGAGAAGGTGAGTGGTTTTTTTTCCCTCTAGGGCCAAAGGTGTATTTTGGTTATGGGGGTTAACACGCATACATACATTCACTCACGCTAACATGGATTCAAACACTTTACTCGCGTCGTTCTGCAAAACTTATAGTAAAACAAGCGCACCCGGATATAATCAGTCAGACGTGTCGGTAATTCATGTGGTGACATTTGCACATGAACCTAAAATAACTTAACGATTAGCAACTTGGACTTGCTGACTAAAGTGATAATGCGTATTTCATAGGATGGTGTGGTTAAAGGACTTTGTTTCGCATCCATATTTCTCCCATTTTGCAAAACTTCCACCATGTTTCACATCTCTCCCCTTACCTTAAGACAACATTGATGTTTGTTGCTAAGAGAAATGCAAAGTATAAAGAAGTTAAAAAGTTACTTCGTAGGCATAGCTCTGATTTTTCAAAGCAAAAGCCAGCATAATAATGTTAAACTACTGCTGTTAAAAGAGCAAGTTGGACTATTTGTACAATATATTTAAGTTAAAATGTTAAGTTATGTTTTTGCTTACTTCAGTTTAACAACCAACATATGATGTTAACCAATGGTAATAGTTTTACTGTTTATTTAGAAAAATACTTAAAAATATTTATTTATTATTTATTGGCCTTTTAAACCACCAACCAGTATGCATGAGCTATTCATGTATGAAACATATAAAACCCTGAAAAGGATAAAAACAATCAATCAGGCTACACTGATTAAAATCTTGATATGACTGTTGTTCTGCTAGTAGGTGTGGTTATTCCAGGGTTAAAACATAGTAGGTTTAACTAATAAACTCTTGAAGGACAATTGTAAAATCATGTCAGAGGGCATCATCTTAAACAGCAGCTAAAACTCAATGTACAACACACACATTGCCTGGCTTCTGAGCTAGAGAGAGGTGTTTCAAAGCAGTTTGTACTGCAGTTTTATTTTTGGAAACACCTCGATTAGCTTTAGCTGATTGGGCCTGCTGGCAGGCCTTGATTTAGAATGAATTTCATCACAAAGGTAAATCGTTATAAAAGAAAAATTGCATTTTGTTTACTTAAGACTAATGTGATGCTTAAGTTTCCAAGCTGAAATATAACACGCCAGACCTCAAGATTGAAATAAGGATAAGTCTGCTGGCGAAATGAGCTGAGGACTAACCTGTTCATTTGAGGCACAAGTAAATCAAGTGATGAATCAACTTGGTCACTGTGGTGATTGTAAGCTTAGCTTGTTCTATGAAAGGCGTTATGCCGAGCTAATGATGTGCATTGTCTTGAGTTATTAATTAGGCAGTCTACTTAAAAGTGTATACCTATGGAGAGGACATGTTTGTTCTTGTGTTTTATACGTTTCACCACGATGTAGTTACTTTCTAAAAAGGAATTTTATCTCCTGCTGATGGAGAAACAAGCAGGGCATGTCATGTATGACCTTGCTGTTAAGGAGCAGTTACTGCAGTAGGTAGGCCAACAAGATTAAAATGCATTCTTTTGTTTAAGCTTCTTTTCAGAACTAAATGTGGACTAAAAATAATAATCTCTGTTTTGAAATTGTTTTTACATGGATCATTTTGGTCAAGAGAAAACTGTGTCAATCAAGCAAAAACCACAAGAAGCTCCTTTAGACGTCAACACCATCAATAATTCTCCGGCCAGCTATGAATCATTCGCTGTGGTGTGCTTAATCATCAAAAGAATTTAACAGGTTTCTGACCTAAGTGCTTCACATTGTGAAGGCACAAATGTTAAATTTTAGTAGTTCGCATTCTCATCGTTGTTGTTAAAGCATTGATCGACATATTGGATGGACAGTATTTTGAAGTCATGTCACATACGCCTACGACGTAACCTATAAAAGTGGCAATTGCTGTTGCCAGCATTCGAACTTGCATGTGATGGGTTGTTATTTGCCTTGCGGTACAAGGCATGATGGTGACAGATAAGACAGCTCGGACGTTTTTTCCCTCCTTGGGTCAAACATATTTGTCTGTCAAGTTTTTCCACTTATTTGAACATTTCCTCACATCTATAGTAATAGTTTCAGAAGTCTCCATCCAGGAATTTGCTAAAATCTGCGATTTCCTATATTGAGGCGATGATGATTATTCTGTCACTGATAAATTCAAAAACTGGAGTGAAAAAGTGCCCAGAAACACATTGGCCTGTTTACTACTGTCAACTCTTCCAATCACTGTAATTGTTGGCTGCATCAGTTTGACGTGCAGTTACATTTCTCAGGAAGTGATCATCAGGAAATGGTGTAGGTTACATCATGACATTGAAGATTTAAGACAGAAGTATAAATTCGTCTTAAGGCCCAGGGTTTGAGCCCTCACAGATTGATGATGTTACCTTTTTTAGTGGTTGTGTGCGAGAGGTTGGGCACTCAAAATGGTATATACAGGAGTAGGACGGCAGGTTTGGGCTTACCATGTGATATTACATTGATGGCTCAAAAACATATTTGTTGTTTGGGGCATTTTATGTTACACTGTTTACTTTCTGCATGGCCAAGGCTGAGCCATTCATGTGAATTGAACATCTTCTCGGCAGTGGCTTTAAGAAGTACTAATTCACTTGCTTTTGACAAGCAGCAACAAAAACGAACACAGTATGAACAGGTGACGAATAGATGAACACATATAGCATTTGGTTCATGTTAGTGTTTTTTTCCCTCTTTCCTTCCTTTGTTTATTTACTTTTTTAATGTTTTCAGGCTTTCCCCCTTAACCCACAGTTTAACGTCACAACACTATGAACTGTGGGTAATTCCCTAAGGGAGTGTTTGCAGAAATGCAGTGTGAGCATAAAGGGCTCACAAAACCTGAGCGAGCCCTTGTGTGTTTGAGAGTTTAACAGTGAGACAGCCCTAAGGCCTCACTGTCTTAGTAGTAATGCACTTTGAAGTCACACTTTGAATGAGTGAGGAGATTGGCGGTTCAGCCTCTCTTTGTTTTTGGCACAATAGTTTGTCCCACACTTGTGTCATCATTGCCTATCCAACTTTATTTGGTTTTCCTCCTTATGTGTTGAATAAAGGAGGGGGTTTATTGCAGACTGCTTCACAGAGGACTTATCTAATAGTGCCTTTTTTGTGTGTGTGTGTGGTCAGCAGTGTGTCCTATGTGCTTGATGCTATGATGCTCACATGCGTTGGGCAGATAAGGGAATAGTTTGAGTAGGAAAATGAAGTAAGTCGTATGCTTGGTTACCTACCAGCTTAAACCGAGTTAAACTCTTACGGGAGATAGTTAGATGCTGCTCTCTATCGCTGTCAACAAAACACAAAATGATAGATTATGTCTCGGAAAATTTCTGTCCTGTGTAGAGTTCATGAAACTTGGAGAATCAGCGCCAACGTGCAATGGAGCGGTGTTGATGGTACGAGACGTAGGACACCACTAAGTCACTGTATCTTTTCATTTGTCAACCATTTAGAACATTTTTCTGCATAAAGGACAGAGACAAAATGCTCATCTGAAATTCAAGGATGCGGGGTCAGTTGACATTTGGCTGTCATGAAACATGTCTTTATCATGTTGCGGCGTCTGTCAGTGACTGTTGTTTGTGTCATGGGGCTCATCAACACATGCTGCTCGTGGCAGAAGTTTGTCTTCATAGAAAGCTGTGTGTGCGCGTGCGTCTGGTAGGGGTATTACAAGTGGATGACTACATCGCTCTGCCATGACTCACCACCAGATTCCTCCTGTGGCGTTACTGCCATTCTACCACACGCAGATGAATAACATGCACGCACACAGATTGTAATAATGTATGGTACTGGATGACTGATGAATTCATCATTCTGTCACGCTGTTGATAAATTTTACAGTGGTGCTGTCACAGTCAGGGAAGCTGGGAAATGTAGTGCCACTGTCAGCCACAGGTCAGATGCAGCCAGCATGTGTGCTACTCAGCAGCAGCCAGAGCTGCTACGATTGCACCTAGATCGTTCATCACTGCCACGGATGAGGATGCTGAAATTAACTGGACTCTCATTCTCTTCCCCTGCCTCGTGCTCTCAGGCTCTCTTTTCCTCCTCCTTCAAGCGTATGTCCTTTGCTCACTGCCTCTTTGTCTCGCAGAGGCCTCAGACGGCTTCTCTGTTCGTTTACTGCGACTTTGTTCCCGTTTTGCGCTTTTTTTTCTTTCCTTTTGGCTTAAATTCACCGTTCTGTCTTATTTCTTGTCTAGAGTGACTTTCTTTCTCTCTGTCTTTAACACCTCATGTTTGAAAAAGAAGAAAATGGAGGTTGAGACGAGGGCAGACGAGGGCAGACACAGTGGCGTTAGACCACTTTTGAAGTCGGACAGTTTTAGCAGTAAAGGCCATTTAGTGCTACGGCACTGAACGTGGAGTAGCAAAGCTGTATAGCATGTCTACTTTCATAGTTGAGCATCCCATTAGGAAAATACTAATGAAAAATACTGCACGTGAACTGCTGCAGCAGTTTGGAAACGAGTCTTGTTTGACCTTGCTATTGATCCAGTGAGGAAATGTGGTTGGATGCTGCAGTTCCTGTCCTGTTTCAGTAGATTTGAGAGAAAGGCAGTTTTAATGAAAAATACACAGGAAGTTATTGATTTGGCAAATATGTTTGCTCTCTCATTATATCTGCAATTTGCTACTTGGATAAGCAAATTGGGTATAGACAGAATAGAATTAAAGTAGATGCGTTGAACATAGAAGTTGCCTACGCTAGCATTTAACTATTGTTTTGATGGCTTGTCCTTTTGCAACTGCCAACGAGTGAATACTCCATGTCACATTTTACCACTCGTAATTCACATGCCTTTGTCCATTAAGTGAGGATATTTTCCTTCCTCTTTGTAGCAAGCAGATACTTTTAAAGCAAGCCCATTGCTGTTGAAGGAGACACTTGGCAAAATAGCTTCAGACAATTGACACACATTAAGTAGCATTGGACTTGTCAATTCATCCACACACAATTGCCTCTGACCTCCTTGAGAGAGAATCTGCAGGTACATCTTTTATACGGTCTTTGCTTAGTGGCCCTCATCCCTTCAAGACTTGGCCAGTGATGTTTGGAGAACCCTTGACGGTCCTGGCGGAGTACATATTGGAGAGGGGCTCCACTTCTCTGCTCTTGTATCCTCTCCTCTGCTCATCTCATCATAACGCCCCAGGCAATCTCTTAATTAGCCTCCTTAATTAGGTGGTTTCTGGTTCTCTCCGCCAGGGTAAATTTTGATCACATTCTGCTGAGAAGCAGCACTTCCCTCTGATTCGCCTTGGAGTGCCTTTAAAGCGTGAGGTTTGTCATTGGGCAGAGGTTCTCCAGCTGAAGACACCTTTGCATTCTTGCTTTTTATGGTTTTCTTTGTATTTGCCTATTTACTATAGGGAAATTCTCGTTTTTACAGTTTTATCCAGGAAGAAATGCATCACGATCCATGATGTTGTGTGCGTCAGCATTTTAATTTTAACCCTATACTGTCATCTTCATGGAAATATGACCTGACTTTAGGGATCAGGTTTCACAAGGTGGTAACCTACATGACTAGTTTAGTCAAGTTGGATTTTAAGCATTTCTGTACACCTGGGACAGCCAGCTTTTACATCTTGAAAAACACCATAAATAACTCCATTTAGTCTGCCCAACTGCAAAAGTAATTCATTCTTTATAGGTTAATTTCATAATTACTTTTACCAATTAAATCAATCAATTAAATATTAAAGCCATGTTTGACAGAGAAAACCTCAAACAAGCGTTGCAACCTGGGCAAGATTCAGAATTTCATTTGGACCTTTTGCAAAACTGCCCCTTCTCAGAATATCTGGTAGTTTCCTTTGGTAGCTCAGAGTAGGGCTGCTCGATTATGGCAAAAATGATAATCACGATTATTTTCACTGAAATTGAGATCTCGATTATTTGACGATATTTATTTAACAATAACAATGT